GCTGTGTGATAGACTGAATGGCTGTGTCTTGGACTACACTGACGGTACTGAAAAGAGTCTGAAAGTGTTCAGACCGTCAATTCAGAATGGAGGTTTTATCTGTTAGAAGCGTTTGACCATCAGCACTGAGTAGAGGACTTTGGGCTTTGTATGTAGGCCCGTATGCTGTTTTCAGGGCTTCATAGAATCGTCTGTGATCACCCGTGTCTGCGCATAATTGTGTTTTTTTAGCTAGACTGATCCACCACTTGTTCTGGATGTCACGGAGTTTCTGTTGGAGCTTGCTGCACGTAATGCAAAAGGCTGTTTTTCTTATGTGACAGGATGGCAGTGCAAGGTGTGCTTGGTGGGCGGTTCTCTTCTTCCTCAACAATTCCTGGATCTCTTGATTGTTTTCATCGAACCAATCCTTGTTCTTCTTGAGGGAGAACCCTAAGGTTTCTTCAGAGGACTGCAGGATGCTGGTTTTAATTTGGTGCCAGAGTGTAACAGGAGAGGTATCTGTAGAATCTGTGGAATAGCTATCAAGCCTAGTTTGAAGATTAGCCTGGAATTTGGCAAAATCTACCACCTGCAACTCCTAGAATGCTTCCATCAACGCTGCCTTCATACAATCCTAAACATCCACTGGTCAGATTATGTGACTAATATGTCTGTTCTAGAACAAGCAGCAGTCACAAGTATTGAGGCCATGTTGCTGAGAACACAGCTGCGCTGGGCAGGGCACGTCTCCAGGATGAAGGACCACCACCTCCCTAAGATCTTGCTTTATGGTGAACATGCCACTGGCTGCCACAAGAGAGGAGCCCCAAAGAGAAGATACAAGGACTCCCTGACACAACATCTCAGCCTTGGCCATATTGATCAACATAACTGGTCTACTCTGGCCTCCAATCGGGAGGTCTGGAGACACACCATCTATAACGCTGCTGATGCCTTTGGGAAAGCACGCAGGATCACTCTTGAGGAGAAAAGACAATGCAGAAAGAATCATGCCCTGCAGAATGTACCACCTAAGGAGTCTTTCTGCTGTGCCTTTTGCAACCGGATGTGCCTATCTCATATTGGCCTTTTTAGCCACCAGCGTGCTTGTAACAAACATGGGTAGAGCCCTTCCCAAATCTTCGTTCACGAAGCCCAGCCATGATGATGAAGACTTATGGAAGAAGCCCTTCTTCTTCCACGGTTTCCACCCATACACTTTTTCCTTGGTTAAATCTCTGATGCATCCACCTACACTGGACGTGTTCTGGTCTGAAGCTGAACAAGGCTTGACCTGTAGTTTTCAGATATGAGATGGTACATGCTGCGCTGCATGCAGACAGGAGCTGAGAACAGGAAGGACTAGACAAGTTGTCTGATCTGACTATGTCAAATACAAGAGCTGGAACTGAGATTTCTGAGAAAGAACGTTATGTCAGATAGAAGCAGGTAAACCAGAAGCAGAAGAGAAGCAACAAGAGTAAAGGCTGGAGCTAGGTCTGCTCATGGAGCACTAGTTGATCTTTAAGAACCCTTTCAACTCAAACCATTCTGTGAGTCTGTGCTCTCCATGAAGTGTTCTGTTTGTGCTCTGGTTTTGATCCGAGATGAAAGACTCTATGCCCAAAGGCAGTTCTATTTGTGTCTCTTGGCAATGGTTGCAGGGCATGATAGTGGACATCAAATAATCCAGCTCACAGCCAGCACCGGGTTAAATCTATCAAAACAGTTCACATGCAGAAATCTTTGCAATAGGGATGAACTGGAAATGGCAACTTCTGCATAATAATGAATTAGGGAAACTAACTCTGAAATGGTAAGTTGTGACTTAATTGCATGAATATTTTAATACGTGTCCTTAACTTTCAGTTGAGTAAACATCAGGGAACACTATGTACGCTCCAGAGTGTTACACTATGACACTTGCAAGCACACTAAGTGTTAAGATAATACTCTGCTAAACCCCAGGGTTACCTGTAAGCAAGGATGAGGCTTTCCCCATCTTTTTTTTTAAATTGAGCATGTTTTTGATTTCTCAGAAATGGCCTGTGCACACAGGTAGTTACAGCATGGTCAGTAATGACAGCAATGGTCCAAAGAGGGACCCGAATGGGAATAGAAATGCAAATGTTGTGATGTAAGAGTCCAGAAAAATGGTCTGAACTCCCAGTTGCCTCTGAGGTAGTCCACAGTTTTGTAAAAAATCCAAAGACTAAAATATGTTTGCATAAAAACTGCAGTTTCACACAGTTAATGTATTTCTCAAATTAAGACCATTTTCAGATTATCTGCAATTGGTAGAAAGACTCTCCAGTGGAATGATCAGTGTTACCTGTTACCAAGAGCCTTACCTAAGACAGCTTCCCTTCATACTGCAGTTTTGAGGTTTTCAAAGGTACCTTTTTTCTGAGTAACATCACCTATCAGTTCCGTAGTAACACAGGGAGCCTGTATGAGTCACTCTTTGAATAAACAGGAGAAAGCTGTCAATTTACTTGTGTTCAAGGGGAGCACTTTTACAGTGTTTCCACATGAATAGTTTTATATTTGAATTTTTTAACCCAGAGAGAGTAAATTCTGCAACATTGTTCAATTATCTATAATTCTTCTTTTCATATTAATAAAGTAGATGTACTTGATCACAAGCAACTAAACCAATAAGTTAGCCTGCAAGGCAAGATGAATTGAGGGAGTTTTTATTACTAATTAATTGATTTTTGCTCTAGATGCTCATGCAAAGTAAACAGTGTCATTAAATAAAGATTTGTTTTAAATGCGATCGGTGGGCAATCTGCTTGCTACTATCCTTCTTCAGACAGGAAAGGCTTCAGGGGAGAACTTACTGTGATACTAATAGTACTGAAGAGACAACCTACAAAAAAAACCCCAACCAGCTGTTGTAGACAATGTGGTTTAAATAGAAACTGCCTTGCGGATACAATGACAATTCTGTGTCATATTTAATTCTGTTTTCCACTTAAGTCCCATCAATTTTCAAAATGAAGAATTTCTTGTGTCAACATTTGTGCCCTAGTTTTTTTCCTTGCTTTGCCTCTTACCCTCTGATTTAGAATTTAACAGCTGCCTATTTTGAATACTACAGATGAAATTTTAAGCTCTACTTCTGCTGTGGCAACTGAATCCCTCTTGCCTTTACCTCTCTATTCCTAGCTGCATGATTTTGTCAACAGACAGGTTGCTACTTTGTTTAACAGCGGAACATAATTCCTGCCTTTGATAAACATAAGGCAAAAAAAGAATCCTTGGAAAAGCTGGGAGTTGCAAACATCTGAGCTCTTCTTCGTAAAGTTTTCGGAAGTAGAGCCATAAATGTATGAGGTTATTTATCATACTGGATTCTCTGTTATTGCTAATATAATTAAATACTATAAGTCTATCCGGATTTATATCAGCAAAATAAAAAGCAACAGTCCCTTGCATGCCACAAAAACAAAAGTCTTCTTTAAATCTGGAAGAAAATACTTACATAAGGAGTGCAATATTCACTTTAATTCTAATTTGGGGTCTATGTTTACTGACCAGGGTAGAAGAAAGTGACTGAAGGAATGACTTTCAGTGAGCTAGTTTACATACCTAAATTGCTAAGCCAGTTAACAAAATGTGGAAAGAATATGATTTTGATTAAATTTTATTTACTGCCTGAAACTGTACCTGTTTTCCTCTCCCCAAATTGGGAGAAAATAGTACCATACCTAGTTCTTGCACTACAAACTATGAATACGCTACACAGTATGAACGAGATGAGTTAACTTATGTAATTTTTTTTAAGGTTTTCTTGAGAGCAGAATTGTGAGGGAATGATTTATATTGTCACTGCACATTCTTAGACAAAGAAATAAAATCTCTTGTTTAATGGTTGGTTGATTAAAATTACTAGTGGAACGAAGCGAAAGAAAGATGATCAAACAGCACAGAAATATTAAGGCTTATGAAGAAACCTGACAAGAGGAAGACTCTACACTTCGTGTTTGGAATGAAAATAAAATCAGGGATGCATGAGCAGTCTGCACAGGATGATGGATGAAAGATGCTCTTTGCAGCTCACAGCCTTGTATCTCTTCTATACTATGTTCTGTTTCTCCTTTCGGAGCGCAATAAAACCCAAACTGTTTCTGTAGGTCTTGCAGGATTTGAATTGATGTACTGAAGCTGAAGGTCCATCTGTTCTAGTGCCTTGTCTCCTACTGGTCTTGGCTTTTCATGCCTAAATTCTGTTACTAAAATAGAGAAGTTTGATAGCTTTCCCTTTCTGGGGAGAAAGTGACTTCTACGCATCAGTTTAAGATTTGAGTGGCAGTGGACATGGAGTTTGCGGTGGAGAATGCCAGTAGAGGTATAGGGGTCAGTCAAGTCTTGCCGTACTGGTCTCCACCTGGGATGAAAATTTTTGTGTGTCTACAATAGGCTCAAATTATACTTGTAAGACCAACACCTCCCATGCTTAAAAATGAGCTGGGCTCGTGGATCTTGTGAGGACAGTCACATTGAACTGCAGTCATTTAGGGTCAAAGATCTGGAAGTAGATGAAAAAGCAACTAGATGCTTGGGGAGATTTTCTATGGCTTTGGTGAAGTGAAACACGGGGGTGCTGCAGTCACCATCAACAACTTCCTTACACGTCTCCTAAGATGTGGTCGTCCAGCCTTTGGAACGAGTGGTGGGTGTCCGGAGTCCCAGGGGGGTCCAAGTCGCCTGGTCTGCCTTTTACCTGTCGATCCTCTCCTGATCTGCGCTGATGGAACAAGTGCTCTCAGCTGATCACGCCTCTCACCTCACCGCCGCGGAGGATGTGAGCGGGTGGGCGTAGGAGGCTGGGTGGGGGGCGCAGCTCTTCAGCGCACACCCCGGCAGCGGGTGGGCCGGGAGGGAGCGCGGTAGGTGTCTCCGCGCCTCCGCCCCTCCCTCCCTTCCTCCTTCCTCCCTCCCTCCTCCCTCCTCCCTCTCTCCCGCGGCGCATCCTCCCGCCCTCGCCTCTCCCCGGCGCTCGTCGCCTGCGGGGCTGTTGCCGGGGGTGGTGCCAGCAGCGCCAGCCCGACCCCCCGCCTCGGGATGTGCTGAGCAGGGGCAGCTCCGCTCGGGCCGCTCCGCGCCTCACCTGCCGCCTGCCCGTTCCCCCGCCGCCCCTCGCCTGCTCGGAACGGGTCGGGTCGGGTCGGGTCGGTCGCCGGTGGCGGAGGATCCCGGCGGTAAGTGCGGGACAGGGCGGGGCGGCCGCTGGCCCCGGGGGCGGAGGGGGGTCTCGGGGGGCGCGGGGGCCGCTCCGGGCTCGGGCGTGGGGGGAGCGGCTCCGCTGCGCGTCGGTGCTGCCGGGACTGAGCTGTGTCTGTGGAGCCGTGCGGGATGCGCGTATGTGGGTATGAATATATAGATATAATTATATCTATATATGTAATATCTATCTATCTATCTGTCTGTGTGTCTGTCCATCTATCCATCCATGTATCCATCCGTCTATCCATCTATCTATCTATCTCTCTGTCTATCTATCTATTTATCCGTCTGTCTATGTATCTATCTCTCTATATAGATAAATTTCCTGTTGAACGTCCTCGTGTGGGCACGGGGGAGGGAGGAGAAGCCGGGCGCCGTGGCCGCCTTGTGCCGACGGCGTGTCCGCGGGAGCCCGTGGGTGCCTACACGGTCGCGCCGCCCTGCCCTGCTCGGTAGGTGCCTCTCTATGTGTATGTATGGATGTATGTATATGTATGTTTGCACATCTGTATGGGCACGGCGCCCTGCCCTCTCCCTCCCTCCCTCCCTCCCTCTGCAGGTGCCTGTGTGCTGTGTGACACACCCGGTGCCGCACGCCCGCGGTCCCCAGGTGCCCCCGCACCTGTGGTCGCGGTGCTGCCCTGGGTGCGGGTTTGGGGACATCCTCGATGGAGGAGTCGGAGGGTCCCGCGGGCTGGGTCCTGCCTCCGCCCCGTCTCTCTGTATAAAGCACCCCCCCAGGGTGACAGGTACTGTAGGCAGTTTGGCTGGAGCACAAACACTGCCTTTCTTCACACGCTCGTCACGAGTTAGTAGAAAGCTGCGACAGCCCAGATGCCTTCCTAGACATCCATTCCTCCTACTCAGGCTCTGGCAAAGAAGAAAAGATAACAGGCAGCACTTCTGTCTGTGTGGGTGGAGGAAGAGAAAGGAATATTGATAATGTATTTGTTGAAGGGACACTAATTCTTGGTTTTAATTACTATTTTAGTGGTTTCAGTGTAGCGCTGTGCTGCATAGCTGCCACGGAACTCATTTGGTGACTTTAGTTCAGTGCTTTTAAAACCCTGCGTTCTTCCTTCTGCTTTTTTGTAAAATCCTTTCTCCGTCCTGATGCATACAAAGAACCCAGTCAGGAAAGCTCAATTTCCAGAAGAGGGATGTGGACTGTGTGCAAAATGCTGAACAACTGGAAAAGCAGCATTTTCTATTTGCTCCAGTCCTTCTGGGTTGTAATGGCAATTTCCTACAACAAATGAACATTTGTCATTCAGGAGGGATTTTGGTTAATGTGGTTTGTTTTGCAGGTTGGTCTGTTTGTTTGGGGATTTTTAAGTTGCTGGTGTTTTTTTAATTTTTTTTTTCTCTGAATGAGAGGTGGAGTATCATTAAATGCAGGGCTAAATCTTGTGATCAGCACATGAACAGAACCATCCTTTGGAAGGAATGATGCCTTGTTAGACAAGGAAGGGACTCATATCGGTGAATCCATCTTCCAACCAGTACTGCATTATTGGCAACCTCTCTTAGGATTCTCTGGAAACAGGATCTCTGTTTCCTATAGCTAGATGTATAAATAATATAATTTTTAAGTAATTGTGTTCCCATTCAGTTGGAATAATTTTTTTTCCCCTTTCTGGAATAAAAGACTTAAAAACTCTTATTGAAAGTGTACTGTCTTTTTTTTTTTTTTTTTCTCTAGAGCTGTGTGAAGAAAGTCTTCAACCATGGATGTGTTCATGAAAGGACTTTCCAAGGCAAAGGAGGGAGTCGTAGCAGCAGCAGAAAAAACCAAGCAGGGTGTGGCAGAGGCGGCAGGAAAGACGAAAGAGGGAGTCCTCTATGTGGGTAGGTGGGCAGCAGAGACCTAGTATTCTGAAAAAAACCCCTAATCACTCATAGGAGACCATTGCAAAACAAACAAGAGGAGAGTTGTGCCTCCTGAGCTCCAGTTCTTTAAAATCAAGTGTTGGTTCTTATGTCACGTGCTGGCCATGTGTCACTGCTCTGTGGAGCCACATCTGTAACACCAGACTGAATGAGGTTGTATCATGGGAGGTGCCTTGCAGTACAGGTCACTGGCTGGTTATTCTATTCAAGAAGTTGGTACAGTAAAAATAAATTAAAAAAAATATAAAAGCTGAAGTGGAAGGTAACTTGACAGCATTCTATAGAACGTGGAGTTTAAATAGGAATTTAAGAGACGACATTTGAGAGGTTAATTCAGGAATTGAGGTTTAGACAGGCTGACTGATTGGCGTGTTGACAGTAATGTTTTGTATGGCAAAGTGTCATGTCCTCATCGTTTGAATTTAATTTCGTATTTTGTACTTACTATTGCAAATTCCTAGCATTTCCATGACTTCTCCAAGAAGAACAGCTACAATTAATGGGGTAGGGCAGGTAGACCCCAAGGTAGCAAAGCAGTTATTAGGTGTCATTCTAGGACACAAAAGTCTTGCATAGAGGCAGGGATAAAATTCTTTTCAAATCCCAGATTGGTACTTTTATGCATGATAGTCATCTTCATTTTAGCAGGTATTAGGCTTTAGAGGACTGTCTTGCAAATGCTGCCATGAAAAATTCACAGAAAAATAATCTGCCAAGACTATAGGAGTAAGTGGTTATTTTTTAAAAAAAAGTAATTATGGATCTGTTTCTCTTATTTATCAAATAAAGTTAGTGTGTAATATAAAGGAGGGGAAAACATAGCCTTTTCTGTAGGTCTTTTCTATTTTGCTGATTTTGTAGCTGTTCAACTCTGTAATGGATGCTGTGTGTGCCAAGGGAGATGTGCACACATAGCAGAGAGAAGTTAAACAGAGCTGAAAACCGGAGGCATTTCTTTTCAATGGGAGCACTGAGATCGCTGCAATTCCAGTGTCTTTTTAGGATTCCCTCCACCCTTGCAGGCTAGTGCCAGTTTGTGAGAAATTATTTCTGCTCCAGATAGTGTGGACTACTCATTTGGAATATACTTCTCTCATTTTGAGCCATAGCAAAGCTCAGTGCTCTTGCCAACAGGGATGGCAATTATTTTGAACACTAATTGTAAGATGAGTCTATTTTAAAATGAGCATCTGCTCATTTTCAAGGTATCAAAATAGATGTTCTCTCACCATAAATTGTGCTTGATGTTGGAGTAATTTTTCAGGGGTGAGGCTTTCTTCTATTTTGTTTTCTTGTAGTGCTGACCATGCTTCTGGGGTCATTGCTTTCTTTGTATTGGAAACCTCAATTGCGTGCTGAATTAATCTTTGTGTTTGACCTGTTCTCCAAACTGTAATAATATTTGAACCTAGTTCTGCTCCCAAAGGCAACAGATTTCCTGTTGACTTCAGAGATGCTTTTGCTGAGGTTGAACTTTGGAGGGCATGCTTGCTATTTTTTTCAAGAATAAATGACTGAGGACAGCAGAACCCTGAGCCATGACAGGGACTTGTGCATGTGACTTTAGTAATGGTGGATGATCGTTCTCGTGCCAGATGCCTCCTTTTCAGAAGGAAGGAGCTGTATGCACACTTTGTTGTGCAGGTAAAAAAGCCTTTGGTTGGAAGCTGTCTCCAGGAGCTCTGGCAGCCCGTGTACAGTTGTGTGCTTGTCCATACCTGCAGGGTGTTTCAACAGGATCATGTAGGGTCAGGGGTAAATTGGGAGCTGGGTGTCTCTCTACTTCCCAGGGACACAGGAGAGGTGGCTCTTCTCCTGTACAGCGTTAGCAAGGGCCAGTGTGATAATCTCTGGTTCTGTAGGCTGGTAATGGTTTCAGTGCAAAAAATGGTGAAACCCCTTCAAGAGGAGAGGAGCAGCACAATGCAGTAGACCTCCTGAAGATTTCTCCCTCCCTTTATCGTTGGGTTTTCAGGTTTGAGTTTCACAGCCAGATTATACTGTGAAAGCTGCCTGACATCTTGTAAAAAAGAACCTAACAGCACTGGGCTAAGAGGGACGTGTTGATGGTTTTTAGTTTCATAACATTCAGCCTTCGGTTGCTGCTGGAGAATTAAGAAGATGCAAAGTCTTTGGTCCAGATCCTCTATATGGTATGGTCTCTCACTTGAATGAGTAGAATTGAAGTAAATATGGAAAACATCTGGACCTTCCTGTCCAGGCTGCTGTTAACTATTATGTGAAAGATCATAACATAATTCTATCTAGTAAAGGATTAACTGGGGATCTTTTTTTCCCTGTCTCTTTTTTCTTCCCTCAGTCCATTGTCTTTATCCTCTTTTTAAGTACTCAAGATACTTTTCGATACAGTCTACAATGTGTTTTTATGCTTTCATGTATTGTTTTTGAGGTTTCTTTCCTGCCAAATTCCTCTGCTGATGGGCTTCATCATTGGTCAGCTGAAATCGGTGGCTCTGTCTTGACTCATACAAGTGCAGCATCAGAACCTTTCTTGATGTTAAACAAGGACCTGATCATTGTTTAGAAAGGATGACTGAGGCTCAGTAGTCCTGTGCTGCTTGCGTTTGCTGTAAATTTAAAACTGGGTCTCTCTTTGTCCTTCAAGAGCTGTTGATGTGAAGCAGTGAGGAAGTGAGTGGCAATACTTACCCCCACTCGCTTTGAAACCAGGAACTGAGAGTAAGAAGGATGCATTTGCATGCTCTTGGTGATGTAGTGTTCAAGATGTCCACTGAGCTTTTTGTGTGCTACCAGTGAGCTGAAGATTTTGCTCAACTGACTCTTCAGTTCATGTTCAGTGCTCAGAAATGGAAGTTTCCAGTCCATTTTTTGGTATGTCCATACACTAACACAACAAAGGAATAATTCATCAGCTGCAGGGTTGCTAACAGATGAGTTGTTTACTACTCCCTGTGCTGGCACATGGCCGTAGAGTAGAACAGTGCAGTCATGACCTATTTGGCAAGACCATCCAAATTCCTCTGCTGCACTCTCTTTTCATGAGGTTTCTTGTTTTCCTTTGATGGTAGAAAAGCCAGCAGAGTAGTTGAGGGACTCAAGATCTGTCTGGTGGAATAATGGGCTTCAGGACTTGGAAGCAACCATTTTCCTTAGATGTTAATTTCTCCTTCCCCTAATTTGGGCTTATGTCTACCTGTCTTTAGCCAACTCTGATTAAGCAAGGTGAATAGTCTGTTGGTCTCTCAAATAGTCCAGAAATGAGTGTATTTCCAAACTGCTGATACACTCCTTCTTTTTGGCATAATGACAGTGATGATAATAAATTATGAAGAGAGTCTATGGTATTTTTTATAATTGCGAAAAGGCAGAAATTCTGTTTTGGCTTCTCCCTCGCCTCGCACGAATGTGTACTATAGCTAGGAAAAAAAGCATTACCGTGTACTACTATTGCTTCTAAGTAGTTTAGGTCAGAGTTAGGTTTCTTGGTCTTTATATTATCCCTACTCTGATTCCTCTTGTTTTGCAGGATACAACAAACAAGACTATTGATGTTTTGGGAATGCCAGAATGAAAGACAGCTAATTTCTCTCAAATACAATGTGGACGACCAGCTTTCCTTCATTGCCAGCCAGAAGTCACCCTACTGAATTAAGTTGTTGTTATTTATAGGCCTGTTCTGGCAGCTCCTAATGTAGTTCTAGATGCTGTTGTAGCTGGGATAGCAGAAACAGCTACTTGCATGCAAATGTGCGGTAGTGGGGCAAGTAGTATTGAGCTCTAACATATGCTGTAAGATCTGGAACACCAACTAGCTGGTTGTTTGCCAATTAATGGATTTGGCTATACATATCCCTGTTCGGTATGGGTCTATGAGCCGAGTTTTCATTAAAGAAAAGCCTCTCTTCCACTAACAGAGAATACAGAGCATTTCTTTATGAGTTGTGGTTATAGCAGTGTTACATCAGGGCGAGTGAAGTAAGAATCAGCTTACATAGATCCCTCTGGAGCTGTATGCATTGCAGAGGTCCTCAGGGAGTTCTGTCATACCATCCATCTCTTACTGGCCTCAGGGAACCGAGTGCTTGATAATTCACAGGTTTCCATGTCTTTAATAACTTGGCTTGCAGGCTGCAAATTCAACAAGATGAATGAGATACTGACCAGGTTTAACAATGCATTTAAAAGCATATGCTTAATATTAGGTATTCCAATAGACACAATGGTGTTTAGTCCCTTTCTAGAAGTCAGTAGAACAGTCATAGGCTTGAATTCCAGCATGTGTTCACAGTGCCCTGCTTTTTCAGGTCTCACAGTATCACAAGATTGAGAACCAAAATCTAAAACAAATCCGTAGACATTAACACCTTGCATTTAATGAAATTTATGATTCTTCAATGGTAAATATTTTCAGTGAGAGAAAACAACCTTTTTTTATAAAGAGAAAATTAGAATAAAGGGGGAAAATACTTCTCAGCTGTTTAACCTCGTCATTAGCTAACTGAAGGAACATGTCATTTTACTTGATGCAGTATTTTTTTCCCTTTTATTTGTTGTGGATTATTATTCTGCTGTTGCTCATGGGTAACAGAGCCATTTCAATGCTGTAATCAATCTAATAGTGTCATGAATAGATGGCTAAAGTTCCATAAATTGGCACTAGTAGCCAGTAGGACATGCTGATGAATGAACTTGTATTTTATTTCAATGTTTAATTGTGTTATTGTAACAATAAGTTTCTTTCTTTTAATATTTTTCTGCTCATGCATTTTCCTCTAGTATATTTCTACTTATATCAGTTTGTATATGATTTTTATAGGGTTAAGATAAAATTGTATCTATTTTAAAAGTGTAAAGTCAGAAGTATAAATTTTAATGTCTCAAATACTGAATGACAGAGACAAAAAGTTGCATTACAAATAAGGTAATTCTGTGTTGCTAATAAAAAAATTCATCCTATCTCTGGCAGACTAAGTCAGATGATTAACTAGGAGCCATAAACTCTGTCATTGTAATGCTCAATTGCACATTGTTAAGTGTCATAGTCCACAGATGGATACTAATCCCTGAAATGTAGCCAAATTCTAAAACCTGACAAGGACATGTAGAGGTCTGGTAGGGAAAAAGGCATGGAGGTAGATTTTGAACAGTGGTATATGCTAATTTGTTTCTCCTCCTGTTGAAAACATAAGCAATTCTTCCCTTTGATGCATCATGGTAAAGAGTTATAATCTTTTTTACTTAGCTGTTCCAAAAATCGGTTTGGTCTTCAGGATGACAATTACATTGCTTTCACAGCTCTTGTGTTATGACTCAATCTAGTACAAGTTCTAGGTTGCTGCCTGCAAATCATATATGAGCTGTCACATGTGCCTGTGACAACGAGGACACCAGATGCAAAAGACCTTGAGTTTGATTTCGGTGGCTTTTTCATATTTAAATCCTATCTACCATTTAAGGTTTCTCTTTTGTATTAATTTATGTCGAAATCTGGCTAGCACTACCAGCTCCCCATGATTTTAACCTCTAGGTCTTTCTGTAGTTCAGTAATGGTTGTCAACCCCTGCGAACTGAGATCTGGCCAAGTGTTGTAAAATGAAATTGTAAGGATCTTCTGGGAACTGTGGCTCTGATCTTCTCCAAATGCATGCAAGAGCCTCCTTAGGATGTCAACATTAACATGGTTTCTGTGCAGGATCATCCATGTGAGTTTGCAAACTGAGAGGCTTAATACAGCTGTTAGGAAAATGGCAAGGAAATGAGTATGTACAAGAAATAAACTGCAGAAGTGTTTCCACTGTTACTCACCTTTCCACAGTCAATATATATCCATGCAGTTGTTCTTTATTGATGGTTTTACCTCTTCCCTTAGATTAAATTCCTCTTTAATTTCTTTTAATAACCTTAGAAAATACTGTATGCAACTGTATGTAATCTATATATTAATCCCTCTTTATCATCTGCCTAGTCTTTAACAGTACTTAAGAATATGCACTTTCAACCTAATACTGTTCTTTTTTTAGGTTCTAGGACCAAGGAGGGAGTTGTTCATGGTGTCACAACAGGTAAGACAGTTATCTCTCAATTTCAACTTCATCTCTACATTTGATTAATCAACCATTTAGCTGTTAAAAATTCTTTTTGAGAGCACTACAATTTACAAAAGATAGAAAAACATCGGAAAATTGAGAGAGCTGGTTGGGTGGGATGACTGAAGAGAAATGGCTTATAGGAAAGAAACAAATTTCAGAGTTTTGATCAAATGATTTGAATTTTTCACAGTTATGAGTGTTTTGAGATGTTTTTGAGAAGTACCTAATCTCTCAGTAGCAAGACTACTTTCAGACTTTGGAATTAATGCCAGGCATGTATATTCACGATATCATTTCTACACCAAAAAAGGAGTAAATTTGCATTTTAAATTGATTTGCAAGAATCGTTTTAGGTATGAACTGAAACCAGTAATTTGTTTTAGGGGCAAAATGAATGGAAGTCTTTGATATCTACAGAGTGCAGGAAAGCCTTAGCTGACCATAGTGCGCTGAATAGAATGTGTAATTTTCTACTGTAGAATATGAGGCTTCTGGAGATGTGAAGAAAATGCATGGTCAAGAATATTAATTTGTTTTTCCCCAAAGAAATGAGAAAACAAATAAGGTAGTAGAAAAGGATTTTTTTTCTTAGTGTACAGCCAATGTATCATTCATGTGTGCTCACATAAGCCAGTGCCAAGGATAAACAATGGTACATAAAAATGTCAGTACTTAATATCACAGCCCATATAAATGATTGAAAAGTCAGTCAAGAGTATTTCTAGTAACAAAACTGAAGAGAACATCTATGATAGTCCTTCAGAGTTTAGCCTCTGGCTAAGCATGCGTGCTGTTGTTATGAGGTTTGAAATCTCAGCCTGTTAGACCTCAATTAAGAGAAACAGTCAAAGGGACCGTTACTTTAACCAGTAGAGGATTGCAGTAGAATGAGATTTGAGGCACATATATCTAATATCGTCACAGATGTGGGAACGACAACTGACAACAGTTGCAAGCAAGTTAGTAGAGGTGATGTACACCAAGCTGGGCTGTGGTAGAATCCAAGTCAGGGGCATTTGCACATGGATGAAACGTGCTGAAGCAATAGGACTCAAGTAGACTAGCTCAGTGGGGGACTTCTTTTCCATCTCCCAGAAGAAACTACTGATCTCAAACGCTGTGTCTTTCTTTATCTGATTGCAACATGTGTAGTGAGACAGGAAATTTTAAGTAAATGAATAGAATTTTTGACAGGTTTGAAAAGATGTTAAATTTTGTTCTGGAAGGAACAAAACAGATTATAAAGCCAAACATAAGGAGAATACATCTGTTATGTGCTGTGCCTGTGAACAGAAAATTTTGAAAAGTTGCTGTCAATTTTAGGCAAAACAGTGGTTGTTCCTCATGCACTTTATGAAATGGGTGTCGCAAAGTGAAACACTGAAAGCTTGGGAGTAATGGGGTTTGTGCTACAGTTTGCTTCCTTCTGGCCTGTTCAACTGTTTGAGATGAGTTTGGCTGTTGAATGGAAATGGAAAATGAATAGAAGTTGAATTTCAGGTTGAAATATGACTGTGAGGAGACTTCAGGCAGACTCTAGAGAGCATGGTGTCCAAAATGATACAGTATGGACTTGGTACTATAAGAACAGAGAAATTTCTTGGGTCATATTTTAAGAATAAAAACTAATTGTAAGTCTATAAAGAGTTGTTCTGGCCAGCAGAGAAGGTACATGAAAACAGATTTGGGTTCAGTGTAGTCATGCTAGGAGGTGTAACATGAAGACACTGAGAAATGCCAGTGAAGTTGCTGTAGAAATGAAATCCCTTTAAATCAATGCTATTAAGGTTGATATAACAAAACTGCCCTTTAAGACACTTGTAAAGACCTACTTGTCTCTTTTCATAGGACTGGGAGTTCACAAGTTCTGATTATCTTAGCATATTAACTCCCCAGTGCATCAGGTGAAACCTGAGGTGAAATAAATATTTTATTATGTAAATAAGAAAGGTTCGAGAGGTTGGAGACAGTCAAATGCAAACTAGAACCACAGATCAAAACAAGTGTGTTCACAGTTGTGCAGTTAGTCCTTTCTTACTGTCTGAGTTCCAAAATCTTGCTAGTTTTGCTATTTTTTAATAGTTAGTGGTTTAAAACCCTATGCTGGTGAGATAAATGTGAGCTGACATACCTCAAAGTGCTATAAAACTAAATACACTCTTTGGTTAATTACTTTCCAAACCCAGACATTCTCGACTGAGATGTTTCTTGCTTTAAATGTGACCTGATTGTACCACGTTTAGTGGCATAAAGACACTGTGAAATGAGGATCCTAGGCTGTGCTTCGCAGGAATATGGTGAGAGTGTTATTTGTGAAGTCATCCTTTCTCAGAACTTCTGAAGATGAAGCAGCTTTGCTTATTGGTTTTATGGGGTGTTTGCTTGTGTTTAGAATTGCCTTCCTAATTAACGTGTCTACTGGCCTTTGACTATAAATGCATAATTCATCCACCTTGCTTATCTCCCACGGATAAATGTCCAGAAATGAACAGTATCAAAGATAAAATATTTACAGTTCATCTCCTGATATTCAAAATAAAGCATTATTTGTAAATAGATCAGGGAGAAAAAGCCCTTGGTCCTTCAACCATGTGTCTGTTTCCTGAAAGTGAGTGAAGACACAATATCAAGTTATGAACCATAGTCAAGCATTTTGATGAATTGTTTTATCCAATCATTCTTGTTTTTCTTAACACAGTCTTTGGCATTCCTGCTGCGTTTATTTTAACTCCATCAGGTATCTTACAGAAAAATTCCATAAATTAAAGGACCACCAATGTATTTATGGCATCTTTGTAAGTGAATTCTTCAAGTACTTAAGACTAACTTATTGTCTGAAACAGATATTCAAAAATATATTTAGTGCACTAAGAAGAAATTCAGAGAAATCCTGTAGTTTTCATCTACTTTTATTGTTCAAAGTTGAAAGCAACTAGTTATCATTTTGAATTAAGCCAAAGGTTTCACAATGATATTGCATCTTACCGAGGTGCCTATAATAAGTAGGGAAAAGAAAGCTTCAATGCTAATATTTTTTGCACTGTGCTGTACTAAGTATTTGAACTTCAAACTCAAAGTTAGCCTCGGGATGGTTGTTGTACATCGTCCCGGGGTCATTTAATGGAATGGACAGTCTCTGCATAGACAGAAGTAATCAGGCCAGAGCACAGCAGAGCTCTGCAGAAGCTGATTTACTCTGTTTCTCAACACTGTGATGCAAAGCATGTATCAATTCTACAAAGACTTAAGGGCTTAAGATCATTAAACAACCTGGTATTCAGATTAAATTAATTAGTTGGAATCAACCCCCTACATTCTGAACTGATTTGTTAGTGCTTTCCCCTGCTTACTACTTAATGAAGGCAATAAAATATGTGAGACTATTTTGGTTTTTCTTCTCCTGTCACTGGGGTTTCAGAGCTGGGTGGTCACCAGGCTGGAGCTAATTATCAGAGTCACTCTGGTGACTTCGATGATGTTTGGGTGCTCTAATTTCTGAAGCACTGTGTGAGAGATCTTTCATGGTAACTCCTGTGTCAGCTTTCTTGTGCTATGTCTGTGTGCGGGTTTTGGGTGGGGTAGAGTTAGTTTTCTTCATAGCGGCTGGTATGGGGCTGGTTTGGATTTGTGCTGGAAATAGTGATAGTGTTGATAACACAGGGATGTTTTAGTTACTGCTGAGCAGTGCTTACACAGTGTCAAGGCTTTTTCTGCTTTTCACCTCACCCCACCACGAGGGTGGGGTGCACGAGGAGTTGGGAGGAGCCACAGCCAGGACAGCTGGCCCCAACTGACAAGAGGGATATTCTATACCATGTGGCATCATGCTCAACAATAAAACTAGGGGTAAGGTTGGTGGGGGGCAGCTGCTCGGGGTCTGGCTGAGCATTAGTTGCTTGGTGGTGAGCAATTGTTTTAATTTGCATCATTTGTGTTTCTTGGGCTTCATCTCTCTTTCTCTCTGTTATTTTCCCTTTTATTACAATTTGTTAAAGTTATATTATTTCAATTAAACTGTACTTATCTCAGCCCACAAGTTTTCTTACTTTTACCCTTTCAATTCTCTTTTCCCCTGTCCTGCTGGGGGTGGAAGTGAATGAGCAGCTGTGTGGTGCTTAGTATCCAGCTGGTGTTAAATCACAAAACAGTCTGAAATAGAAGCAATCTTAAATATATCTCTTTTGTTACTACTTTTATCAACATCTTATTGTTGTGCCATTAACGGTGTTAGTGGCCTGATTCTTTTTGATTTTACTTTGCATGTACTAAGCCTTTCCTAGGATAATATGTTTCTGAGAGGAGAAAACAGACTTCAGGCAGAGCTTTTCCAAAACATTCTAATAGTGGGAACAGCAGCCACTGGATAGTTGTGCTTGGTAGGTGGTTGTACTTGCCAGGACAGCATAGAAACATGGCTTTAATAATGGCATCAGGAATTAGGTGTTTTCTACTGAAGCATCCACAGTGCTCTCAATTCCACTCTGTTTCTTAATATTCTGCTTTTGAGGTGCAGTTTTTTTAATAGCTTCAGATAATGAAACTAATTATGACTTGGCAAGGAACACGGTGCAACCATAGTTTATCGTTTTATCTGAAGGGGTGAATCTGCTTAAGGGCAACTGAGCATGTGATCCTTTGTCAGCATTGAGCCTGCTGAATTTGTCCTTTATATGTTCTGCCATTCAACATGTTTTGGAAAAGAGAGTTTTCAAAACAGTGTATGTCACTTGCATAGAAAACAAAATGAACAGAACGAAAGGACCCAGATTTATAGAATCAGGGAATGTCTCATAGACTGGTTTGGTTTGGAAGGGACTTTAAAGATCATTTAGTTCCAACCCCTTGCTGTGGGCAGGGACACCTTCCACTAGGCCAGGTTGTTCGTGTCTCCATCCAATCTGGCCTTGAATATTTCCAGAGATGGGGCATTCACAACTTCTCTAGGCAACCTGTTCCAGTGCCTCACCACCTTCACAGTAAAGAATTTCTTCCTTATGTCTAATCTGAACCTTCTCTTTCAGTTTGAAGCCACTCCCTCTTGTCCTATCACTGCATGCCCTTGTAAAAAGTCCTTCTCCATCTTTCTTGTAGGCTCCCTTTAGGTGCTGGAATGCTCCTACAAGGTCTTCCTAGGGCCTTCTCTTTTCCAAGCTGAACAATTCTAATTTTCCCAGTCTTTCCTTATAGGAGAGGTGCTCCATCCCTCTGATCATCTTTGTGGCCCTCCTCTGGACTCTGTCCAACAGGTCTATGTCCTTCCTGTGTCAGAGCCCTAGGGATGGACACAGCATTCCATGTGGGATATCACAAGAGGGGCAGAATCACCTCCCTTGACCTGTTGGTCATGCTTTTGATGCAGCCCAGGATATCTCCCAAAAAATGAATGAGACAGAGGAAAATTGAAAAGCAATACTGAAATGTACCCAAAACACTTTTTTTTTTTTAATATTTTTTTGAGAATAGAATTTTTAAGTCTACTTCTGCAAGATGCCACTCTCTTTAACATCTCTGTTTGAGGTTTCTTTTTGCTATTTGAAATAATAATGGAAACAATAGAGAGTTTCTGTCTCATAATGTTTCTCAGCTTGTTTCTGCAAGACTCCGTGTACAATCAGGTCTTAACATTCTTTGCAAGATACAATGTGTCACTAGGACACACTTTAAGAACGTGTTTACAAGAACTAGTTACATGTAGAATCCAGAGCTTTTTGTAGTCTGTAGCTGGTAATAATCAAGTGGGGCATACAGAAGTCTTTTTGCACTTACTAGCATTAAGTCACACCTTCCCTGAGGGCAACATTTGCTTTACAGCAAAAACCACTTTTGATTTATTTTTTTTTTTTTCTGGAAAAAACATGGCAGTAGAGTAGTGGATGTATGCAATAAAACTTCTTGAGAAGTTTTTATCTCATTAGCATGTATAGTTATGGAACAGACTTTCTCTGTTTCTTGTTTCAGACGATGTATAGTCTGTTGTGTCCTACTCTGTAATGAAGTCTCCTGGTCATAGCAGAGATAATACTCAATTGGTTATTAACTTTTCCCTTTCACTTAGAATGAGCATTAAATTATCAGCATCCTTTTTCAGTCAGCAGATATTTATTATTTGGGTCTTTAATAAAAATTGTATTGTTTACCTTTCTAGCTTTTTCCTAATTGCTGTTTTTAATGTCAATCATAGCAATGTATTCTGCCTGCCCTGCGATATGGATGGCTGATACTCTTTATGCAAGAAATTAAAGAAATGTAATTTATCCACAGAAAGTCTAATTTTTTGCATGTGCTTCCTCAAAAAAAAGACTCAGAAAGGATGGCCTAGCTACCAAGCAGAATCCATCCTGTGCTCAAAAAGGGTGCAAATAAAGCTATGAATACATTTTATGGATCAGAGGGAATTTATCCTGGAGGAAAATATAGAGTTAGTTAGAATTGCAAAAGTATATGGGTGTTTTTGAAGAACAGTCTCTTGTTTAGATGAGTAAATGTGTTTTTTGTTGAAAATCTGGCTGCATAACTTTAAGGCATGAAGTCATTCCATTCCTTTTCTTAGTTCAAGCTGCTGTCAGAAAGAGCCCTTGGGAATGAATGAACAGAAAAGAATCGAGTGATATTCTGAAAGGTAGAGTGGCAACTGCTGATGTATATGTAGGCAAAATGAGTTATTGTTTCCCTGGGGCTTGGAAGTTAGCTATTAATCCAGTTTGCTTTGGCATCTTTGGCATTCAATCTTTTTGTAGATTACTATTTTATGTATCAGCATCAGGGCAAAAATCTCTAGAGGGTCCAATAAAAGGCTGTATTTGAAATTCTCTGGTTGAGCATTGGTAGATCTGCTTTTTAATGAAATATATTCTAAAAAATGAAAATACAAAGAATAATCAATGCTTTTGAGTCTAATGAAAGAAATCTTGTCTTCCATGCCCTATACCATGCAGCAAGTGTTTGGTGGACTAATTAGAATGCATTATCAAACTGGCATACATGACACAGTGAGTTGAACATAATAAGGGCCCTTAAATCATGACTTTTCTTCCCTAAAGTACAACTAGACATGAATGAAAATGTCAAATATCTTTCACATGAAAGATATTGAGCCAAAAATAAGGGTTATTTTTACCTCTACTGCTCCAGTGTTATCAGTTGGATAGTTTAATTTCTTAAGATCCACTTGGGGTACAGAAAATGTAATGACTTTATGGCTTTTCATGATGTTGGGCTGCCAGTGATAAATAAAATTCTCTGAAAACCTTAGAGCTCCCAGAACCCTAATGTGTTTTTCCATCATCTGTTTCTCCTCAGTGGCTGAGAAGACCAAAGAGCAAGTGTCCAATGTTGGGGGAGCTGTGGTGACAGGAGTGACAGCGGTGGCCCAGAAGACAGTGGAAGGAGCAGGGAACATCGCTGCAGCCACTGGCTTGGTGAAGAAGGATCAGCTGGCCAAACAGGTTTGTTTATTTACAGTCTTTTCTAGGTGAAGAAGTGAACAATGAGTGGTCTCCATGAACTGAAGGGCAGGTGGATCATTTTCTGTCTGCCAGTTGATCATTTGTGTTACGCTAAAGGAACAGCAAAAAAAAGTCTGCTGTTTATAGCTTGTAGTTTGAGTGACTTGAAGAATTTGAGAACTTGAATAGGATTAGGCATGAAACTTTACTATTCTGAAATGTCTTAGCAAATTTGTATCATGGCTTAAAGTGTGATCTAGTGATGATTCTGAACTCAGCAGCCTCTAGTGGAGGCCAGCCACTGTAGAATAACTGTTTCATTGAATGAAAAGGTAACTGTTTTTCCCAGTGACTCAAGAAACCGGCTAGTGCTGAAAGGTCAAACAGCAAATCTCAGGTTTAACAGCACAATTTGTGTCCACTGTAACTGAAGATTGGTACAATTTTGTGTACCAATCCACTGACTGGTTAGACATATTACATCTAAAGTCAAGATCTAGCTGGAGAGTCTCTATCTTCCTTTAATATAGCGACACTATCTCAAAAATGCCTCCAAGTATTCTGAACTCTTCAGATTAAATTTGCTCTAGCTCATCCGGTAAAGCACTCTGTAGGTGTTTTTATTCCAGTACCAAGGTGAACATAAGTATTTGCACAATATGAATTGTTACTACATTTTTTTGCTGATACGCTGTGATTATGTTCTTCCACTTACACTAGGTGAAAAGTGACCCCAACTGGTGGGAGCAATGATTTCCAAAATGTGTACAGTGTTGTTTGGAGGCAAAAATAACCCAGAAGAGACAAATACCTCCCTTTGTGCTGTTTTCTGTATGAACATTTAAGACTTAGAAAAAATAGGATTAGGAAGAATATTTAGTATTTGCATAAAGATACTGTGTCACAGATTTAGCATGAAGTTCTATTGTGCATGTTATTTCCAGTTGGCATCCAGAGAAGCTGTTAAAATTGAATCCTTAAAAACTTTTAGTTTTTTCCTTGTCTGTTATTGAAGTGTATTCTTATCTGCCTGACAAATCCTATTGGTGCTTTAGTATGAGGAGCAAAAAGGGATATTACATTGTAGTAGGCATTCATTTCATTGTGGTGGATTGTTCTTGAAAACATCTCACAAGCAGTTTTATTCTCTTTCAAAGCAGTTTTCCTGGGGTTTTTTGTTTGTTTGTTTGTTTGTTGGGGTTTTTTTTAGTATTTTTTATTCAGCTATGGCGAAATGTTGCTTTTTATGTGGTCATGGTCCTTTGTAAAAGCTATGTTGAAAATTAGCAAAACTGAGTATCCAATGAACTGCCAGGGGATACATGAGTATGGCATGGCCACAGTAGTCTATGCCCTTAGTTCCCGCTAAAGCTCTTCCGTAGTTTTACACAGAGAATACTCATTTCTGTTCATAGCTCTTCAAACTCAGTGTAATAAGGATCATCACTGTAGTAATGCACTATTACCTACTTTAGTATTGAGCATAACTAATATTTTTTATGTCAATATACATATAGAAATCCTTATAAAGTATAAAGCAAATGTCTTCTGATTTTCATTTAAATATGTTCTGTGTATTGTTAAGCTTAAATTTAAGTCGTGATGGCTCTAACAGAATAAAATCACATCTGTGAAATGAAAGAACATCCAGAATGTACATGCATATTATTCCACGGCCCTATAAATAGCAACATTATTCTGAACTGGTGCTTTGTTCTTTAGATATGTAAAACCATTCATTTGATTCTTGATACCGGTATTTTTAGGCTAAGATTCTCAGTCATCTCTGCAGTATGACCATGTAGCTGATAAGTATCTGTGGCTCCTAGTGGTCTGCCTTAGGTCTCTGTCTCTTTCTGATTTTGCAAGGGATGAGTGATCATTAATATCAAAATTGAATCGTGGTTTTGCATTCCTGTGCAGCTCAGAGGCATGAGATAGACTTTTGCTTAGCTTTTCCAGGTAAAGTGACAGTTGGGTAGGCCAGTTGTGGGCATCCAGAATACCAATGGGACACAGGTCTCTTGTGGGAAACAGAGTCTTTCTGAAATTACAGAAGGTGTCAACCAAGCGTTCAATCAAAGTATCAATATAACTTTGTGTTTTATCTCTGTAAGGTTATGTGACTTAAGGCTGTGATATATCTAGTCTACTCTAAATGAGGAATGAGACCATGATTAGCAATAGCACACTCATTCCCTGAGCTTCAGTGTGGTAGCCAAATGCTTTTGGCAGATTATTCTTCCCAGGGACATCTACTTGGAGTTTATAAACTCCATATAAAGCAAATGGCTGGGTATATCATGTGCAAAATGAACACTTTGCTTGCTTACACAGGGTAAGCCATTTGATTTAACAGGGAATAGCAAATGCAGCATACCACTGAAAGCAGATAGAACCATAATTACAGACTGTTTTTCCACAGAAGGCATTAGCCAATAATATGTTATTTTTAGTTAGCTTCTAAACTTGTGACAAATTATTTCTTCCAATTCACGTGAACCCACGTAATCTAATCCAAATTCTCCAACTGAACATGATAAACAGTGATCTCCTGAGGTCCCTTCCAATCTGAGTTATTCTGTGAACTGCTATAAACTCAACCTGCATGCGAGTGAAGAGGTTTGCATATTTGCTGTCAATTGCAGAATCAAGAACTGTGAAATAAATACAGAATCATAGAACATCTGAAGTTGAAAGGGACTCCTAAATTATCATCAAGGCCAGCTCCCTACTCCTTGCAGGGATTAGCTGCTTCAAAACATGTTTCTGGAAGCCCCCTGAACTAATGTCATTGCTGGGATCTGCTACTAGTTGATCTGCTTGCCTGTGTGAAAGCCTGCAGTCTTGTGGGGTGACTGGCATTTTTCTTGTGCCATGATGGAAGTCTGGTTTTGACTTTCAACCAGTTGAAAACACTTGTAATTTTCTTTACCCGTGGATACGACATTACTTACGCAAAGGAAATACTAAGCAACTTCTTGGAAAAATCCTTTCTTGAGAAGTTTGTCCAAGCTTACTTAGTGCAACCTTCAATATTGGAGTGCTTTGGAGCATGAAAGAGCGGCTTAACCATCCGACTGAGGCCAGGTTGGAGGGCTACTGTCACACCACACTGTCACCTACCTGCCCCGCAGCTGGTGTAAGCAGGCAGTGCAGAGTGACAGCTGAGACTAGTGAGAGACAGGGATGACTCGACAGTGCCCATCTGAGGGCTGCCCAGGGGATTTCTGCTGTGGCAGAAACTCACTGCTTAACACAGCAAGGGCAGTGGCGGTTAGTAGGCTTGAATTAATTATAAAAGGGCTACTGTACTGCTAGCAGTATTTTAGTAAACAACAAAGCATTTATTCCGTGCCTGTACATGTTTTATTTCTGTGTACAGTGTGAATGTGCTTCTAAATTAATGGAGTTATAAAAAGAAAAAGGAAAATTATCGATGATTACATTTAACTTAGAGATGAACATGTTTTTTTCCTGAGTTAAGAAAACTGTAAAATCCAAAGGATTTTACAATTTGAATATTCTGTTTTCAGCTCAACATGAATGTATGGACCCAAATAGTCTGGAGGGGTACTGCAGTGTATAATACTGCCTGAGAACAAAACACAGATTACAAAGTTTATTGTTTTCAGATAGGTGATTAACAAATTAAAGTTCTTAACCTCACTAAATTAATGTAATTTGGTTCCCTAGCATCTAAAGAATAAAACAGTTTGTAAGTTCTGTGATTTGTATGGTGAATAATTTTATTTATACTAGCACCAAAATCCCCAGTCAAGCTAAAACCTCACAGTTCTCTGCATACCATGTCAGTATATAGTCAGATAGATTTCATGTGCTGTAGATTTACTTAAGTAAATAGAATAGCAGACCTTGTCCTTACCATATTTGGGGTCTATATGGTCTATATGGGTTGTTTGATATCTATATGTGCTAAATCCTTTTTCTTTTTAGTGTCTCTTAATTTAACACATTTATGGTAAATACCACTGTGAACGCAAACATAAAACTACAGTACCAGGTAACGTAGGTAGGGAATGTACTTACAGAGCAGGTAATATAACTCATTGGTTTAATTACAAAGCTTTTAGAGTTTTGTAAAAGCTTAAAAGAGAAAAAAGACTTTTAAGTGTCAAGATTGCCAATTTAAGCATTAGGCATTTTCTTCTGTAGGGAATATTACTTAACTAAGAGCCCTTGCTAATTGCATTTTATGTGAAAATTAATACAGAAGAATGAAAGCAATGTCAAACTTGCAGTATCTCCCCCTCCCCACCCCCATGCATTTCCTGGCACTCCTTAGAATTTGAACACTGTCATAGCATAAACATTCAGTGCAGTGGATCCCAGGCATAGAGTATTTCTTGTGTTATTAATTTTCTTGCCCAGCCCAGAATAGCTACTCTTATGAACAACCAAAATTTTCCATGCACCATTAACCATTGTTTAGAGCCAGTGTGAATCCATTCTGTGGAATCACCATAATCAAATATACAAATATGTAGGAGCCTTTTTCATCCTTTTTACAGGGAAGCTCCATGAGAATAAAGACATGATGAAACACCCTTTAATTTTGATGAGAGGAGAGTGACTTCCTTTTGATTAAGACACCAAGCATTATAGTGTACTCCAGCCAGCTATTATTTGTTCATTTGGGAACTCTTATTAGTAGAAGGAAAGCAAACCCTGCAAGTGTCTCTGAAAATTTGTCTTTCAGTGGCAGAATGAAGGTTTCTTTTTGTATTAAACACTGGGTTTTTTTAAGTGCAAGTGAAACCTCTTCTTTCAAAGATTTCTGTTTTGTCTTGTTGCAGACTAAGATTCCTGTGTTCCCAAAGAAGTTTTGATTACCATCTGTAGTTTAAAAACCCAAAAAGTTTAATATGAAATCTTTAAAGTGCAAAGTTTTGCACTTTATATTTTGAATTTTAGATCAGCTTAGAAACCCTTCTGTAGAAGTCTTATGGAGAAATAACCACAAACTTAGGATTGGCATT